TTTATCTCTATCTTGATCAGTTTCTTTCATCTGTGTTCCTAAATATCTCAGCTCCCCCATCCGTCTCACCTCACTTTGGGCTCTGTTTCACCTCAGTTCTAATTGAAGTTATAAAGGTTTTACAAGTCTCAGTACTTCACTGAAAGAACCTTAGCCCTCATCACTATCCAAGACTTGGATTCAGTGAATTTCACATCACTGGGCTCTCACCTGGCTCCTGGTCCTGGTGACTACTGGACTGCCATAGTCAGGTAAGCCCAACTTTTCCCTGCTCCCTTTTACTTGGATCTCAGAAGACTGAGTTTCTGCTTTTGCTCTTTTGGCTGCCTTGCTCTGACCAATAATTTTCCCTGAGGCCAGAAGCCCTGACCTAAACTCCATCTTTCTATCCTGGGAGGTGGGGCTCACCGTCTGTGGGCTGACCTTCCCAATGAAGATGTATCCGGCTACTGTCTGCCTGGTTTCCTCCTTGTGGTCTACTTATCGGCCTGTGTGCATTATCTTTTCTTTAGATTCTAGTGCTGTTATTTGAATTATGCCTGGTGAAAGTTTGTCGTCACACCTGATCTGATCCCCCAGGGGCCTGATACTCAGCTGCAGTCCTGCACAAGTGGTAGGTAAGGGGGAAATCTTCCTTTCTCTCTACTTGCCTTGTACAGCTGTTAGGCAGGAACATGCCTTCTCCTCAATTCTCAGAATGTAATAGCTCATTCCTTTTTCTAGTGGTACACTGCCGTAACTGAAAATGTGTCTGCTATTCAAAGACCTGTAGCACAATTTTTGCAATATCTTCAAAGGTAGCCCTAATTTATTGTTTGAATGTGAATTTGATTTTTTCCCCCAACAATTTTCTCATTAACCGAGGACAGTTGGTGACCAAACCAGGTGTTTTCCACTTTGTAGCAAAACCAAGACATGATATCAAAGTAATAACACACTGCATTTTTTTCTCCCCCATAAAAGTGAGAATAATTCCAAGAGGTATCCCAGGGATGTTCTGACAAGGACAGCATCACTGGAAAATTGTAGCCTTCCAAATTGACACATTTGAAGAGTTACAGTTATTAGGATTTGCAGTTTTACTCTCACCTTCCTATAAAGATGAAACAATTGACCTTTCATTACTGAGAAGCTATGACGAGCTGTGGGGAGCCAGCCTTCCTTATATTTCCCTGGGATTCTCCTCGTAACATGGTGGAGATGTCTCTTTAAATATATATTTTTGTATTAAACTTACGTAAATAAAAGAGCTCCACATGCTAAAGAAAGATGAACCTCTTCTCCTTCTTTTGTTTCCTTCTTTCAGAGAAGAGGCTGGCATGGTCGGGAGCCTTGGACAATACTCCTATAACTCAGAGAGAAAAGTGTCTTTAAGTAGGAATATTATTCTGACATAGAGGAATCAGCCAGAGATTCTAAAATTGCATAAGATTGGTCTCTCAATTTTCTGCTCATGGTATGCTCAAGGTCATGTTTAATTTATTCTACTGAATGTGGAATTTCTGGGAATTATCTGATACCTGATTCTGACAGTTTTTACCCCTGACATCTAAAGTCCACCTTAAACTGAAGGTAGTCTGCCTGACCTGCTTGGTGTATCTTGTATGATTTCTATAAAGTAAGAAATTGAGGACATGCACTCAGAAAATGCAGTCAGCAGTTGATGTGAAGCCAGGCTTAGCTCTCTGCCTTTGAGGGTCAGTTTCTCCTTGTCACAATCAGTAAGAAATGGACCTTAAAGTTTGGATTCCCATATTCAAGATCTCAATGAGTTTGGGCCTAGATAGCTCAGACAGTATTAAATAGATTTATCTCCTTCTAAAATTTACCCACTGTGATGGATATCTTTAATACCTTGGTTGTGGAAATCTTTAATACCGTGGTTGTGGTTTTAAAAGCTTAATTTTTTTTTTACTCCACTAAAGTCTCACTCTTATATAGGTCACGTAATCTACTTATTTGCATGTCCAATTGACCAGATCTAATAATGTAATTTATCTTTGGGGAAAAGAATGTGTTTCTTAATTCGTACAGTATCTTTTATAGTATTCCAATATAGTTAACACAGAAGTGCTTTCAGGTTATCGTGATGATGACTGAGTAACAAAAGTAAAGGAGCCGATGGTGTAATATGCTGTGCTGGAGAAATTGCTTCTTTGGTGTGTATTCTAGGAACTGGAGTTCTCATACAGACTAAACTTGGGATTTCAAATCTCTACATGAAAGAGAAGAAGCTAAATGCATATCTTATGTCCTTTCAACTTCTCCAAAAACTGGGATGCCACAGTTCCGATGACCTGACGTATACTTAGTGTTATGTAAACATTAAGAGGACTTAATTTTTATTATTTGTAATATCTTTTTTCTAACCACAAAATAACACATATACATTCATAAAAATGAAAAATACAGATAGGTAAGACGTAAACATCATGTTAGTATCACTAACATGTCACTATATGTAATTCTGCATATATTTTTGCTTTATTTTTACAAAGCAAATTATACTCTAAATATGATTTTCTAATCTGCTTTTAAAACTTATATATCATGAACGGAAAATACACTTTTAATTAAAAATTATTGAGAGTTGAAAGTAAGAGATCCTTCCTAATAGTGCCTCCTTATCTCTCAGGTGGGAAAAACTCTGGTGCAATTATATAATTAAAATAATTCATGTGTAGGCAGCATCAGACCAAGGACTATAACCAAAACCTCTTAAATCTTAGGTAACCACTTTATGCATTTTACAGGTACTCTTTCTTACTTTTCATATGCTATGACTTAATCCAGTGTGATTAATTGGAATTAGAGAGCATGAAAAATTCTTACCTTCCCCTTATATGCTTTAGCTTGGCTATATGTCTGCTGGAAAACACTGGGTAGGAGCAATTAACACAAAATTTATTGAAAATGTTTTGTAGAAATAATTCGTACGTTTTGTGATGTGTTTTCAAGCTTTAAACCTTCAAATTGAGGTCTTTCTGCAGGAACAACAAGGCTTGAGGCATTGAATCTCAGTAACATCTCAAATTGCCACAAATCTCTAAAAAGTTATCTAATTCAGTGTCAACAGAAATATGATCAAATCTAAGTAAGAATTTCCTTTTAGGTTTGTGACTTCAAAAAACCATTTATGCTGAAGAAATTTGAGTTAAAGACTCTAAAAAAAGAAAGATTCAAGATTCAACGAGTCTTATCAATCACCATCAATTTTATTTGCCAAATTTAGCACTAGAGTGACATTATCTGTACATTCTTTGTATAAAAACATCTAGCAGAGCACTTTTTTTGGGGTTTTGTGATATCAAGAGGTTTTTGGAATTTTAGGCAAGTTCCACCCACAATAAAAACCAATGTTTTCTTATTGCTGATTAATTCTGTCTGATCGGTCAGAACTGATGCTTCTTTGAATACATGTAAATCATCGTTCATTTAAAGTTTCTGTTTTGTCATTCTTCCTTTGTTTCATTTGTTTCTCAGTTCTCTTATTATTCTTATTTTCTTCTTTCCCATTCTGTTAAAATAAAAATCCTTAGGGTTTCATTTATTTTTATTTTTTTTTAGTTTTTCTTTGCTACAGAAGATAGTGAAGTCAGTGAGTATATTCAGATTATACAAATGGCATTTACTTACCTAGACATTTTATGATGCTAATTAAAAAGAAAGCCTGGATATTTGGAGAGAGATTCAGATAATTTGGAAGTGATTTATTTTCTCGAATGGAAATAGTGATTCTAAATGATGAGAAATTGTATTAATTTGGTAACATGATCATAAACTTGTTATTGAGGTTATCCTATAAATTAGGATAATAAATTCCAGTAACATTTAATTTTTTTTTTTTTTTTTGAGACAGAGTCTCTCTGTCACCCAGGCTGGAGTGCAATGGTGTGATCTTAGCTCACTGCAACCTCCGCCTCCTGGGTTGAAGCAATTCTCTGCTTCAGCCTTCGAGTAGCTGGGATTATAGGCATCTGCCACCATGCCCAGCTAATTTTTGTATTTTTAGTAGAGGCTGGGTTTCACCATCTTGGCCAAACTGATCTTAAACTTCTGACCTGGTGATCCACCCACCTCAGCCTCTTAAAGTGCTGGGATTATAGGCATGAGCCACTGCACCTGGCCTATTTACTTTTTAAACATCATAACTTTTTTTTACCTCTTTTAAAAAAATATTGTGAGTCTAAAATTCCAAATAAGCTTACTTGTTCTGATGCCCACAATTGTCTACCTTATCCAAGGATGAAATGCAGGAGGTGCCTTTGATGGAAGCTTCTTGATCTGCTTATATTTTAAGAGGACAGGAAACACATGTTTCTGGTGTTTTCTACTTGTTAGCATTTCTTAACCAATGGAACAGAAATGTCCAGAACTACAAAGTTCAAACTTTGCATGCGGAAAGAACTTTATGTGATCAGACTGAATCTAAATAATGGTAAGAAATAACAAAAATATAAGTAATGGATTCCTAAACAGACAATATCATTGCCATGACATGATCCTACTAGGTGAGTACAGAAACTAAGCTCTATGCATGTGCCAGACAAAAACTAAAGAGCTTAGGTTTTAGCTAAAGTGCATCACTCTTATTGCCCTCAACAGGTCCTGATGTGACTGTGTCAATACAGTTACTCAGTTTCTTCCTCATGGCTGACGTGCTGGGCCAGAGATTTTCCTCTTAGAACATATTCTATGAAATGGGGCCTACTAAGGAAAGCTGCTTAATGTAACCAGCTCCTTTTAAATCATAATCTTCTAAAGCACACTGGAATAATACAGTTTATTGGGCCAAAGTTTCCTAACATGGCTTCCCTCCATCTCATTTAGTTAGTCCACAGCTGAGTAACATGTTAGAAAACTGTGTGCAGAAGAGGTCAGAGCCAGTGATCCATATCTCAGATTCTGGCTGGTAATGGTTCAGTGTGATGTGGGATCAGAATTGCAGACAACGAATAATAACCAGAATCTTTTTTCCTCGCCTAAGCCCATGAAGAGTATGTCCACCAGTTCATTCTTTCTACACTTGGAAAGAAGTGAAACTTGACTTCAGATGTGGCCAGATTACATTCAGAGGAGAACAAAACATATGGCCAAGAATGCTGTAAGACCCATGGAGTGCTTTCTAAGGTGGTGAATGCCTGCAGACTCTGTCAGTATGACCGTATTTGTGTGTGTATGTGGTAAAGTGCACATAACGTAAAATTTACTCTTTTAACCATTTCAAAATGTACAATTCAGTGGCATTTAGTATATTCACGACATCACGTAATAGTTACCACTGTGCTACTCTAGAGTGTTTTCATTACCTGAAAAATAAATCTTATACCATCAAGCAGTCATTTCCCATTCTCCCCTCTCACATCCCCTAGCAATCAATAATCTTCTTTCTGGCTCTACAGACTTGCTTATTCTGGATATTTCATATAAGTGGAATCACACAATATATGTCCTTTTGTGTCTGGCTTCTTTCACTCAGCATAATATTTTCAATGTTTACCCATGTTGTAGCATGCATCTTCATTCCTTTTTATGGCTGAATAATATTCCGTGGTGTCGAGAAAGCACATTTTGTTTATCATTCATCAGTTGATGGACACTTGGAATGTTTCCACTTTGTCTGTCGTGATTAATGCTGCTATAAGAAAATATACATTTTTTGTTTTTTTTTTACTTAAATGATTTGCTGATTTGTGCTTGTGGGTACCCAAGACCTAGCAGGAAGTTTGGTGGGGCTGGGTTTGAAGTTGCAAACTGGGCAGAAAACTAGAGCCAGAAGCCATGTCAGTTCAAGAGGCTCTTGTGAAGGTAGTAAATGACAGTAAAGGCAGTGAGAAGAAAATGACAGTAGAGTCAAGGGCCCTTGGATTCTTATCTTGGTTCTAACCAATAGGTTGTGTGGGTGATTTGGGTAAATCATTTCACCTTCCTGGGCCTTCATATTCTCTGTTTAAAATGAGACAGCAGAACTCACTAACATTTACTATAGCTCCAGGAGTCAATGCCTGCCACAGGCTGTGCAAACACCGTGCATTTCTTATCACCTAACACACCCTTTTCCACCATCACAGCTGCTATCCCTCACACGGTAAACAGCAAAGATACTCCTTTTCTATATTTTCTGTGCTCAAGGTTTGGGCATAACCATGTCCTATGACCTGAGGTATGAAGAAGGTCAGGGCTTGACATCAGTGAAATGTGGCAGTCGCAGCAAGGCCCAAAATAACACAGCTCAAAATGTGAAAGCAGTGTCTCTGTAACCAAGAAACTGAAATAAGTGCTCAAGGCTGAGATGATATCAGCCATAAATATCATGCAAGAAATGGGTTCCATCAACTGTTTGGCACTTCCAATGTCACTCTTTATAGATAGCTAGCAACTTTTGGGGTGTAGGTGGGTGGTTCATTCAGCATTAAAGATGATTTGTAGTCCCAGTCCAAGTTTTCCCTCTCCTTGCACTAAGGCAAGAAAATATGAGTGATTTGTGAAGTTTCCTCTTTTGTAAAATGGAAATGGTACTGGGTAATCTCAGTTTGTTCTAAATAGGAATCAGGTACACTCCTGAATGTACCATTCAGCTGTGGTACATTGTGGGGAGGGTGTCACGGGTCAAATATGGGGCTATTTATCCTTCCCTTTCTGTTTATTTCTCCTTGATGATGAAAGAATAATATCTACATACGTGACCCTGGACAAGTCAATTAGCTTCTCAATATCAGTTTTCCGATCTGAAAATAAGAGGGTTACCTATTTTGAAAACAGCTATTTTTGGATTTTGGTAAAACCACTTACCTAAATTTATTCATGGCTGGCTGTGTTGCAACAGGGCTAAGGGATTAAGAAAATAGAAATCCAACTTTAATTTTACTTTTAGGAGTGAGAAGCTGAGGACATTGATAGACAATCAGAGACAAAAATGTCTAAAATTAGAAATATAATAGCAGAACATTATACATAAGTGGGGGTAAGATATTCAAAAAGATATAACCATATAAAGTAAGGAGCATATGCAATTGGAACACAGATTCCCTGTACGAATTGCTTTGTGGCCACAGTTAACTTATTATTATTATTTTTGGAGATAGAGTCTCGCTCTGCTGCCCAGGCTGGATGGAGTATAGTGCTGTGATCTCGGCTCACTGCAACCTCCGCCTCCCGAGTTCAAGCAATTCTCGTTCCTCAGCCTCTCAAGTAGCTCGGACTATAGGCACGCACCACCATGCCTAGCTAATTTTTGTATTTTTAATATTGATGGGGTTTCACCATGTTGGCCAGGCTAGTCTCAAACTTCTGACCTCAAGTAATCTGCCTGCCTCAGCCTCCCAAAGTGCTGGGATTACAGGCATGAGCTACCACACCCAGCCAACTTATTATTTATTCATTCAAAAATATTTGTTTTCATCTCTATATAATGAAATCTCTGACAGGTGAAGATACCTTTCAACTGAAGCAGACTCTGCATTTCATTGCCATCCAAATCAGCAAATACAATTTTGCTTCCCTGACCATCCTGTTCACAATGTAAACTGAAAAGCCAGTGGAAACCTATTCTGTTTCCCCTCAAAAGGACTGACAAAGTCCACAGCTCAGAAGCATCCATTTTTACCTGATTTTAGGAAATGGATTATAGTTTCCTAGGGACTGAAAATTAATCTACCACATTTATTTAAGTGGGTTCTTGCCCAGCCCATATTTTCACCCTTTAATGGTAATGAAGTTAAAATTTCTTTCCAGTCACTTTGCATATCATTTCCTTTCTCTTTAATTCTCTTTCAAAGTGAGATGATTTGATAGATTCTTCTTCAGCAGTCACTCACTTTGGTAGATGATTTTCTTTTTCCTTTGAAGTTGATTTTGAAAGGAGCTGTGTGTGATGAGCTAATTAGCACAAACACACAGAGTATATAACCTTAATTAGACATGATTATAGGCTCAACGTAATGGGATGTCCTGAAACTGCATGCTATGCAAATATTAGACTTTTCATTCTTCCCATTACATCTGAAACCATCAAGCAAAGGATGTTTTGCAGTAGGTACCACAGTTGATGCCAGGTGCAAATCTTTCAATAAAAAGTTGATTTTTTGTGTGTGTACTACTTGAGCAAAGGATAATAGGAGGAGGTTTAGGGAAAAAAAAAGATTAAAAAATCTGAAAAGTTGAATTAAGTTCAGAATGAGTTTTACAAATTGAGGAATTTTACAATTAAGTGAAAAACCCAGTTACTCTTCAAACTCTACCTCATCTGGAATTCTGAAGATACTTCAGCATAGGCACCACTGTGAATTATGCAAATCTTGAGAGATCTTTCAAATCCAGTAACCACTAAGAGTACCATAAAACCAGTCTGGGGTTTACTCAAGCTATTAGGGTATAAGAAGATAGTGAGTACAAATGAAATCACAGTGAATCCCCAAGTCCTAATTTTAGCTAATTATTTTCATTTCCTTTACCACCAACACCCTACCTTTTTGAAAAAAAGAATTGGAGTGGTAAAAATAATTAGCAAATTGACTTTCCCCTTCCTAACCTGAAATGGTGGAATTTCACCAAGGATGTGGTGCCCTTAGACATTTGAATATTCAACCACTGAATAATTGAGAACTTATAATACATAATTCTTAGATTATTTGTAGAGTTGTGAGTTTTCAGACTCAATCAGGTAAAACAATAATAAGCGATTTGGTTCCAGATGTTCATGGAAATACTGACAAGGGCAGAAATCCAATATGTGAGTATTAGAATAATTAGTACCTGATTTTAATATAAAATACCATCCATTCAGCAGAAATGAAAATGAAAGAGGGTTTATATAATAGCTGAAGTTTAAAACACATAGCTTTTTCTGTGTTTAAAATGTAATCTATTTTTTTCTGAGAACATAGTCTATCATAGGCACAATGTTCAATAACTCATTGGTATAGGCTCATTGAATCATCATCATAATGATATAAGATAATTCCTATAAATTACCCATGTTTTACAGACGAGGAAGCTGAGTATTGGAGAAGTTAAAAAATGTCATCCAAGATCACATTTCTAGAAGCAGTAGAGCCAGGACTTGAAATGACGTGTTTCTGACTCCAGCCATGCTCTTAATCACTCTGCTGGGCTCATTAGTGCCGATCAGGCCTATGATTGTGTCCTTAGTGATTAGCACTTTCCCCAGAGCTGGAAAGGAGATGCAAGAGAAATAAAAACGCTTGAGATGTAACCTGAAATGCAGAAATTCTCTACTACCTGCTAGGTACAAAGGAGGACCTGATTAGGTGCTTTGTGTGTGTTGAGGATGTAGGTGCTGCGGAAATAGAATTTGGAGCAAGACGGACATAATTACACATGTTTGAGTATAATAAATACAAACCTATATGAACAACATGTTATTATTGCACTTAAGATAACTGGGGAAAAATACTGAATAGGAATGAGAAGACAAAGATCTCAATCCAGTTTTTGCCACATTACCAAATGTAAGACTGAATCAATGAGGGTCTCAACAGGAAACAGGGGGCTCAAATAAAAGACTCGAGAAAAGAATTACTTTGAGAAAAATTAAGAAGCGTTAGGGGCAGAAGTTGGTAATGCACCCAGCAACAGTGGAGGCTGATAGCACCTCTAGGATGGAAAAATCTGGGAGAGGGCAATGAAGAAAGACCTGGACTTCCACCTGTGTTTTCCGATCTGCTGGGACCTTGCAATGCTAGGCCCTCAGAAGCCACCCTGATGGGTTACTAAGGAGACGTTTTCTATTGGGTTCTGTCCCAAGTGGAGCTTGGATCTGAGGAAAGGGGACGGAGAATCGCTTTCAGCAATTCACTTTTCCTCTTTAAATTTCAGTTTGCTCATCTGTTGTTTATTACCTACCATGTTATCAAAAATATAAATAATTGGCCTTATAATTTTTACTTCCAAGTTTTTGGAAAAACTTCAAATTTACAAAGAATTTGTAAGGATAGTACCATGAACACACACATATTCTTCACCTAGATTCACCAATTGTTAACATTTCATCACTGTTGTTTAATTCTTTTTACCTTTCTCTACTAACACAGATACATATTTTTGCTGAACTATCTGAGAGTACTTGATGACGTCTTGAGACTTAAACCTGGAATACCTACATATTATCTAAAAATAAGGATGCTTCTCTACATAACCCCAGTACAATGACCACATTCAGGAAATTTAACATTAAGGTAATGCTGTTATGAAATATAGGCTATATTCAAATTTCCCCCAGTATCTCAATTTGCTTTGTGATGTCTATTTTTTTCAATGAAGAATCACACATTAAATTCTGTCATCATGTCTCTGTTTTCTCCTTTAATCTAGAATGGTTTTCCAGGCTTTTCCCTTTTTAATCTTTTGTGATATTAACATTTTTCAAGGATCTAGGTCAGTTATTTTGCATAATATGGATTTGTCTGATTAGTTCCTCAGGTAAAACAATTTTGGCAATAACGACACAAAGTTGTTGCGTCCTTCTCAGTGTATTGTATCTGGAGGTACCTGATGTCAAAACACTCCATCATGGTTATCTTCAGTTGGATCACTTGGTTAAGGCAATATCTGCTAGATTTATCAATTATCTTTTCCCTTTTGTAATTATCAAGTAATCTGTGGGGTGGTATATGTGAATATGTCTTTTCTCACCAACATTCTTTTACCCAGCATTTTTTTTTTAACAACCATTTGAATTTTCTTGCTATGACAGAAGTCGTTTCAAAAACAAAGAACCTGGTAAGACGTCTTTGAAAGTTCTAATTACAATTCTCACCTCTTCTACGTTAAACTGTTTTCATTCATTTACTTACTCACTTAACAAATGTGTAGAAAATGCTCATTTTGTGGCTTGGCCTATGATGTTTTAATCAGTGGCTTCATGGTTGTCTAAACTAATGTTTTTACCCCATATCTCTTCCTGTGCTCCAGAATCCTATTGGCAACTGCTTTCAGGTCTCTCCATATTAACATTCATGGAGGCCATAAACTCAACATACCCAAATGAAAGCTGTCATTTCACCTTCTCACCTGCTCTTCCTATGTTGTTTATCCCAGTAAATTATACCTCTGTCCTCTCAGTGACCCTATAATAAGAAATAACTATTTATTGAGTGGCTATCCATTACAATAGGACTTTTATATGTGAATTATCTCATTTAATTATTTCAATAATATTGAGAAGTAGATGCCATTATCTGGAGGACATTGGATGGAGCTGCAGGTCAGCAACAAGCATGTCTTCATGCTAGGATGCAAATACAGTTAACTTGAATTTCAAAATTTTTGCTTTAGTGTAGTGATAAAGATTATCACTGGCTTCAAATCCTGCCTCTACCACCTGCTATGAGTGATTGGATAAGTCACCTTAACTTTTAATGCTTTGGTTTCCTTCTTTAAAAAATGGGAAAAATGACAGCTCCTGTCTTGTAGGATAGTTATAAGACTTGAAAGAAACAAAACTTGACATCTGAACAATTTCTGCAGCACCACAGTTCTTCTGAAACCATAATTGTGGTGTCATTCTAAAATGCTCCCTCCACTCACTGAATGTGGACTAGTCTCATAGAGACCTTGTCTTCATAGCTGTCATTACCTTAGTTTAGACCAGGATTTGGCAAACCAGGGCCCACAGGCCGAATCCAGACTTCACCTATTTTCATAAATAAAGTTTTATTGGAAGGCACACACACCCATTTGTTTACATATAATAGATGGCTGCTTTCATTCTAAAATGACAGATGTGAGTAGTGGCAACAGAGACCATTATTGTCGGCAAATCATAATATATTTACTATTTTGCCCCCTACAGGAAGTCTTCCAAATCCTGGTGCCTAGGATATTCCAATAGTCTTCTTCCCAGTTTTCCTGGTTACATTTCTCCCTGAACCCATCTTCCCCATCTCTTAAATTTCCCCAAAATGTGAACTCAATCATATCAATTTGCTCCTAATGTTTCATTGGCCCTTGCTGCTAAGAGTGACAGCTTGCACCTTCTGCCCATCCCGGACAAGCTCGTTCTCTGACCACAATGAGCTTTTCAGGCCATTTCCAACTTCAGCGCTTGCTGTTCTTTTTGTCTGAATATCCACCCTTTTCCCTGTCCTCAATAATAAGTTCAAGTTTTTCTTCCTCTGAGAAGTCCTTTCTGACTTCCACAGGCTGAACCACTGGCTTCTGCTCCTCTACATAATACTCCACTTCCAGCATTGATCTCACTGTAACATGATTGTGGGTTTATCTGTCTGTCCTTGCCACTACTGTGTGTTCCTCTTGAGGGCCGGAACATTTGTTTTTCCCTTTTAGAAAACCTCTGGTGCCTAGTCTGGCATTAGTAAGCGCCCATTAGGTTGCTATTGTTTGTAAGCATTTGAGCTCGGGTTTAAAGGTTTCTATAAGGTGCAGTGGGGTATAGAAAACAAGCAGGTCAGAAGAGGCTTCCTGGAGGAGGTGACAGCTGAGCTAAGTCCTGGAGGATAAAATAAGATAATAGGAGAAATAAGGCAGTAGGAACAGCATGGGCAAAGGTGATGAGACCTGAAAGTGGCATGTGGAAGGAAAAGAGAAATACAGGAAGAGGGGGCATGGGAGGGAATGCTGGGGGACAGGCCAAAGAGGGAGACATTTGGTGAGTATTCTGCAGAGACTCTTTTGCTGTGCTGAGGTGTGGACAATGGGAAACCATGGACAGGCTGGAGTAGGCAAGTGCCATATTCCCTTCTGCAACTGTCTGTCTGCATGTCAGCCTTCTAGAAACCCCTTAAGGTATCAACTATGTTTTTGTCTTGTCATCAGTCAATCCCAAGTGTACACAATTCCTGGCATAGGATAGGCTCTCCATAAATGTTTCTTTCTTTATTAAAATGTATGAAAACTCTCCAGATTTAAGGAGGGTCCTCAATGTTTCAAATTATTTTTCTTAGATCCTTGGTCCTGTCTACAGCTGTCACAAATTTAGGAACTCTTGTTATAGTTAGCCTTCAATTTTGAATTTTCTGCTTGAAAAATTTCTATGAGGAAAAAAAGCCTATCCTCTTATGGAGGGCTCTAATCTCTTAATCATTTTGGTTGACTTTTCTTTGGATCTTCTTCAATGTTTGTCTCTGTTAAGGCTTTTAAGAACATCTGAATTCTTTCCTTCTGCAAAACCAGAGGAATGTTTTTTTCCTGCCTATTTTCAGTTTATTCCTTGTGATTTTGGCATTTTCTCTTAATCAAATACTAAATGGAGTTAGGAAAAATAAACTTATTTGTAAAGCATGTCCAGGGACCATTAGAAGGATGGTGCCTCACAGATAGAATACAGTTTTTATTAATGATGCCCACATATAAATCCTGCCATTAGCTCAAGGGCTCAGAAAGCTAGTAGCCTAGCAGTTCAGGATATGTCAATGAAACGAATTAGGTGGTTAAGGATGCCCAGAAGATTAAATAAAATTGGGATTTAGGAGGACCCTTGTACTCCAGGAAATTCTCCAAGTCTCCTCTTAGTTATCCAGATCCTCAAAGTGAACATGAAGCTCCAGTTTCAAATTGAGTACATTTTCCATCCATGGATTGGCTTGTTTTGCTCAATAGAGTTTTTGAGGTTGTCTTGTCGACGTAACAGCTAACCTACGGCTTCCTTTCTCGTAAAAACCAAAACAAAAAGGCTTTCTATTCAAGTGCCTTCTGTGTGTGCACATGTGTAATACATACCCAGGATCAAAGCTGTCTATATAAAGTCCTTGATTCTGTGTGGGTTCAAACACATTTCAAAGCTTCAGGATCCTGAAAGGTTTCGCTCTACTTCCTCAAGACCTGAACACCGCTCCCATAAAACCATGGCTTGCCTTGGATTTCAGAGGCACAAGGCTCAGCTGGACCTGGCTACCAGGACCTGGCCCTGCATGCTCCTGTTTTCTCTTCTCTTCATCCCTGTCTTCTCCAACGGTGAGTGAGACTTTTGGATCATGAAGATGGAGGAGGTGTTTCTCCCACCTGAGTTTCATTTCTTTCAGCAGTCAAGGGCAGTGATTTATAGCAAAGCCAGAAGTTAAAGGTAGAACTCCAATCTGGCTTGGCTGGCTCTGTATTCCATGGCCAGCAGGGAACAGTTGGGCAGCAGCAAATAAGCAAAGGCATAGCTCAGAGCAGAGTGCCACGTATTTAGCAGGGATTTCATTTATGCATGAGAGTTGGTTTAGGAGACACAGGCAATTTCAGACCCTTCCATGAGATTGGAAGTGATTAAGAGGAAAAGGATATCCACAGGCCTGAATACATTTGAGCTGGGTTTCAGGATGAGCTCACAAGTTCCTTTTTTTTTTTTAACCAAACCAAACAAAAAAAACCAGGAAAACAAACATTGACTTTAAACAAATCCTGGGAAGAGTTTCTTTGCTATACAATTCAAGGTTTTAAAATCCTCAAATTCATATGCTTTAATAAACGAATTAGCCAGCTTGTTTAAAATTTAGGGAAATCGTGGGAAGAATGGCTTCTTTAGTCAATTCAAGATTTTAAGGTTTTCTTAATCATTTCTACAAACTAATTCGTCAATTAGTCAATTATTTAAAAAACAAGAGTTTGAAATTGCCCAAAAAAAAAAAAAAAAAAGGAGGAGGAAAGAAAGTCTGTTTGGCATACGATAGTTAATTATTGCCTGACCTACATGTGGGTTTCAGATCAGCTCTTTGGAGACTGAGACCAGGTTTGTTACATGGCTTAAAATGATGAGCACTTCCATTGAATGTCAACCTTATCTCTCTCTAGACCTTCTCGGTTAAGAAACCAATGTGGTTTGTATGAAGTAAGTGCTCAAAGTATATTTGATGATTTAATTTTTACTGAAGAAGAAATATTCACATATATTTTCTTATTTTTACATGTTTTAAATATGTAAAGATTAAATAATACTCTTAGGAGTATTTAAATTTACAAGTTTTAAATATGTAAAGATTCAGTAAATACTCTTAGAAGTATTTAAATTTTCTAAAGTAAATTTATCTTAGCCAGTAACCAGGACCCTCCCATGACAAATATTGGAAAGTTGACTGTGACCACATTTAGTGGTGATAAGTGTGAACTTGGCTGGGGAGAGGGCAGGACATTTAGGATTTCTTAAGCTTAGAGTCAATACAATAAAGATTATGGAGTGTCCCCTTGGGTGGGATATAATTATTGCTCACAGCAGTTCATGAACCACAAGTCAAAGAGTAGGGAGATATGATTAACTCACAAATCACTTTAATTCAGGGCAGAAGGTAATGAAGTACTGCAATGGAGTTATCACAGTGCTACGGATGATCAGAGGGCATCTCTGATAGGCAGAGGCAAGGGTTAGGGAAGGAGACTATAGTCTAGCTAGCCAGGGCTGCTGGAATAGACATGACAATGGCTGCTGCCAAAAGTTTTCTCTTCTGAGGATGGAGGTCCAGTACAGGCAGCTTGGCAGAAGAGACCAGTGTCTAATATAGGGTAATTTTTATAAGCAGAAAAGTGTGTCCTAGAAATTCAGCGGGAATGACAGATTGGAATTGGATCATGGAGGACTCATTGAATGTTATTTATTTTATTCGTTTTTGCAATCAGTGTTAGTAAAGTGTCAAAGGGATTGAGCAGGTGAGTGACATCATGCAACACAAGTTTTGGGTTTCACTTGTCAGATTGACTGGAGAGGGGCAGGTTAGTTACAGGAAGATAATTTGGCATTCAGCCACTGCTTTTGAGTTGATGCAAGCCTCTCTGCATGGAGAGCTCATCTTTAGCCTGTAGAACCCAGAGGGAAGAGAGAACAAAGGAGCATGGGAGTGTTCAAGTGAAGGAGAAAGAAAGGGCAGAAAGTCGGCGGTGGTGTCAGGGGAAGCCCACGGGAGTTAACAGCAGGGTTGCCTCAACCTGGAGAGGAAACGACCCGGTGCCCTCGGCTCTGTGGCTTCCTTCATATAACAACATCTTCCACTCTACAACAATGCCAAGGAAGGTGGAGGCTGGTACAGTGCTTCAAGACACAGCTACTGCTGGGTGATAAACTCAATAAATAGGCAGAGGTTTGTGACATATGCTTGGAGAGATAAAGCAAGAATCTGTACCTCAACCTTCAGAATTTCCCCTACCACTCATTATGGTTCCGGAACTATATAGTTCCTATTGTTCTGTCATAACCTTCGAACAGCAGTTGATATCATCTCATCTCATTCTCTCTTACTGTATGCGAGAAAAATGAAGGACATGGGGGGAAGTGTGACTTGCCCCAAATCACATATTTCATGGTTGAGCCAGGTCTCTTGTTTGTCATATCAGTGTTCTTCCAGCCGCAACCGTCTTGAAGAATCCATTTCCCAGTAAGGAAACATCTTTATGGAGAGTAGCTGGAAAACAATTGAGAGAGGGAGGGGAGGCTGGGGGGGGGTGTGTGGATAGGGTGTGGATAGGGGAAGGGATAAGTGATGGATTTGTTGAAGAGGGAGAAAAGGGCATGCGGGTGAAGCTAGAAGGCTGAAGGGCTTGCCTCGGCTTGGCCACAGAGGAACATGAGTTCACGGAATTCTCTTTGGCTTTTCCATGCTAGCAATGCACGTGGCCCAGCCTGCTGTGGTGCTAGCCAGCAGCCGAGGCATCGCCAGCTTTGTGTGTGAGTATGCGTCTCCAGGCAAAGCCACTGAGATCCGGGTGACAGTGCTTCGGCAGACCGACAGCCAGGTGACTGAAGTCTGTGCAGGAACATACATAATGGGGAATGAGTTGACCTTCCTAGATGATTCTATCTGCATGGGCACCTTCAGTGGAAATAAAGTGAACCTCACCATCCAAGGACTGAGGGCCATGGACATGGGGCTCTACATCTGCAAGGTGGAGCTCATGTACCCGCCGCCATACTACATGAGCATAGGCAACGGAACCCAGATTTACGTAATTGGTGAGCAAAGCCATTTCACTGAGTTGACACTTGTTGCATTGCTGTCTTCTATGCATAAAAACAGTTTTGTTCCCTAATTTCAGGTGGTTTATTTTTAGGACTGTGGAAATTCTCTTTAGGAGTTCACTACCACACGATAGCCTTGCTTGTTGTGGGTGGCAACCTTAAGAGCATTCTGACTATACAATACAATGATTTGGGGAGGTCCGGCACTAGCTCTGGAGTGCTAACCAGCATGGTGTTAGACCTGTGCTTTTGAGATGATATGATGCTCCTGGGGAAGAAGTCTCAGATAGCCAAAGCTATTTGTGGGCTACCCATGCAGTTTTGGGGTGGTCCTCAAGGCCTGGAGGCTCTAACTTTCTTTTTTCACCAATGTGGGGGAGTAGAGCCTTAGAGTTGAAAACTGTCTCAGGAGGCTCTGCTTTGTTTTCTGTTGCAGATCCAGAACCGTGCCCAGATTCTGACTTCCTCCTCTGGATCCTTGCAGCAGTTAGTTCGGGGTTGTTTTTTTATAGCTTTCTCCTCACAGCTGTTTCTTTGAGCAAAATGGTGAGTGTGATGCTGACAGTGGACCATTTCTGATGGGGATACCTTTAGTGGTATCAACTGACCAAATGATGGTGCTGAGTTTAGTGTTCTTGAGATGAGGCAATAAATGAAGAGGAAGAAGACCAGTGGTAAAGAACACGCTAGAACCGTAGGCATTGGTCTTTGAGGTTTCAGAATGACTAATATTTTAGATGACTTTGTTTGATATTGAATGTTCGTGTGCTTCTGAGCAGGGTTTCAATTTGAGTAACCATTCCAACAACATGGGGCAGCTGTTTTGCTTTTTGTCTTCATGACAATTTAAGCTAACAGCCCTGAAACACAAGATTAGGTTGGGCAGAATGCCGCTAGAGAGGACTGCCTGGATAGTCTACTCTCCTTCTTCATGTCCCTCTCCATCACCTGGAAGTCATCTCTTGGTGCCACGCTGGTGCCTTCCTTGTCCAAGCTGTAGCTGCTCACATTACACATATCCCTGTTATCCAGTTTGATTGACTGGGAAGGTTTGCCTTCCCCTTCAGCCAGGAAATGAAAGTCCCAGTTTCTACTTATTACCAGTGTTGGAGGTGGAAGAGGTGAAGTATGGAATCGGGCCTCTTGCCAGGATTTCTTTTTGACAGTCCCTTTCAGATACCTCTGCCTAAGGCTGGCTTTGCCATTACAAATTCAGCCTTCTCCCTCCCTCCCTTCTTCTCTTCATCTTCCTTCTTCTTGCTCTTTCTCTCTTTTGCTTTCTCACTCTCTGTCTCTTATACACACACACAAAGATACACTCTATTCCAACATCCTCTACCCAACCTGACAGAGATGTCCTTTGCTGTAGGTTCAGCAGTGGAGATGAGAAACACAGCTCTCAAACGGGATAACTAAAGCTTATTACCTTATCAGGCTTGTTCCCTTGCAGACCAGATGGTTTGATTACCATAGGCTTTCTGGGTGTTCTTTGAGAAGCTTTCTCAAAGCCACTTTTCCCTATCTTCCGGTCAAGGCAAATGATTGCCATTTAACATCAAAATCACAGTTATTTATCTAAAATAAATTTTAATAGCCGAATCAGGAAAATCTCCTGAGGTTTATAATTTTCTATGCTGTGAACATTCATTTTTAACCCAATAAGTGTTGAGTTCTTTTATGGTTAGAAGTGGTTTCTGTATTCCTCAACAGTAATTACTGTTCCTTTTTGTGTTTGACAGCTAAAGAAAAGAAGCCCTCTTACAACAGGGGTCTATGTGAAAATGCCCCCAACAGAGCCAGAATGTGAAAAGCAATTTCAGCCTTATTTTATTCCCATCAATTGAGAAACCATTATAAAGAAGAGAGGCTATATTTCAATTTCCAAGAGCTGAGCCAATTCTAACGTTTTTGTATATTTTGGGGGAGTTCATCTCTCTTTAATATAAAGCTGGATGCAGAACCCAAATTACATGTACTACAATTTAAAGCAAAGGAGCAGAGAGACAGAGCTGGGATGTTTCTATCACATCAGCTCTTCTTTTAGTGAAAGCATCACTTGGGATTGATATGGGGATGCAGCATTATGATATGGGGTCAAGGAATTAAGTTAGGGAATGGCATAGTCCAAGGAAAGAGCAGGCAGGAACTGAGGGAGAGGACTGTATTGTACACACCTTATATTTACATGTGAGAAGTTTATAGCTAAAATAATCTTTTCAAGTTAAAATTTATGCCTTTTGTTTCTTAAACAAATGTATAATTATATCATGGCTTCAGAAATACTCACATGGCTATGTTTTAGTCAGTGATACCAAAGGTTTTATTTCATATGTATACATATATATTTTAAATTTGACAGTATTGTGCATGGAGCCACATATGTTTTTGTGTATTTGTTAATGGTTTGAATATAAACACTATATGGCAGTGTCATTCCACCATGGGTCCCAGGGAAGTTTTGCAGAGGAGCTCAGGACACTAATACACTAGGTAGAATATAAGGTCATTTGCTAACTGGCTTGGAAACTGGATGAGGCCATAGCAGTGCTTGATTGCACGGAATTATGCTGAGTTGGTGTTGACATGTGCTTTGGGGCTTTTCCACCAGTTCCTTTCAGTGGTTTGCAAGGAAGTTACAGCTGGTGGTATCTGAGTTGACTTGACAGACACTGTCTTGAAGACAATGGCTCACTCCAGGAGACCTGTAGCTATAACCTTCTAGGAAGCTCCAGTTTGATGGGCCCAATTCTTACAAACATGTGGTTAATGCCACCGACAGAAGAAAGCAGCAGGTGGCAGAATGGGGTGCATGAAGGTTTCTGAAAACCAACACTGCTGGTGTTTTTAACTCAATATTTTCCATGAAAATGCAACAACATGTATAATATTTTTAATTAAATAAAAATCTGTGGTGGTCGTTTTTCAGTGTTGTCGTTATCATCCTTGCATTTGAGTATTGTGTTTAAATGTTTGATTGGTTCATTCAGTAGTTGGTGGAGTCTCCAATATTAGAAATACTGGAAACAAATTGAAAAACCACAAATGATTGTTTTGAAAAATAATGCTTCTTGAGTCAGCTTTGCACCAGTCCATTACCTGCAAGTCATTCTTGGAAGGTATCCATCCTCTTTCTTTTGATTTCTTCACCACTATATGGGTTATAATGTGGGTTAACACAGACATAGCAGTCCTTTGCAAATCACAGGCATGCTGTAAACAGGCTCTTCACTTCCTCTTTCTTACCCACTTTTTTCTCAGCTCAACTCTCGCAGGCATTCCAGTTGTCATGGCAACTCCAATGTTGCCAACCAGGCCCCTTGCAGCCATTTTGATCTGCCTTCCTGACAAGTAGAGCTTTTCCTTGCGGCTTCCAAATGAACTCTTTTGCAAATGTGGGGAAAACACACCTGTGGTCCTATGTTACCATCAGCTGGCAGACCTGGGCCTGGCACACTTAGCCTTCCGTAATTCTTGGTTAACCAATGTATAGCCTCAGCCCGCTTGGTTTCCTATGTTTGACCTCCACATCCTGTTATTGTCTGTGCAATGATTCTCAGTGTGGTCAGGGACCCCCTGTAATTCACTGGGTCACTTACTAAAACCCTGATTTATGTACTTACTCTGAGATACATTGAATCAGAATCTTTGAGTGGTGGGGTCAGGAGTTTGCATTTCCAAAAATCTTCCTAGTGCTTCTTACACCCATCAAGTTTCCAGAATCACTCCTTAGGTAACTTTCTCTGTCTGTGTCTCTTCCTCTGTCTTTCCCCCTTGCTCATTTCCTTGGTTGCTCTTGCTCTCTTTCTCTCTGTCTTTCTTTCCCCAGCAAGTGCTAACACACACACAAAACAGCACATAGTAAGTATTTCATAAGGGCTTGTTAAATAAAAATGAATAGATCTTTCAAAGTAAGGTAAATATTATTATCTAGAATGAACTCCTTTTATGTGGAAGACTGCGCTTCTCGCTCTCTAGGCCTTTGGATGGTAGCCGTGAAGAAAAACACTAACCAGGAGCCTCAGTGGATAGTATATCCATTGAGGATAGTATATCCATACCACTAAATGATATCCATTTAGTATATCATTTCTACTCCTCTAAACATCTTTAGAGAGATGACTTTTTTTTCATAGTTGATGGGTAGATAGATCTAAGTGACAGAGAGTGCCTTACGTAAGTGATGCCCTCCAGGTACCTTTCAGACACCCTTAGATAATGGATTACTTTATCTAAGCTTAATATTTCCGCTGCTATTGCCTGAAGTTCTACCATTTGCTGTTCACTGAGGTAAGCCTTGCCTCTTCATTCAGTCTCAATCTTATAAAAATAAAATACCCCTTAGCTCAAAAAAGCTTCCCCTGTGGAAGAAGAATTGTATAAGAAAGACTGACCTGGGGTTCTGCTGAAAAGGGAGAAAGGAAATACGAGGCTAAGGGAGTGCATCTGGGCACCAGATGAAAGCCTCTTCTAATCCCAGTGTCATTTGTGAGAGGAGATCCTGTGTCTGCAGTACTCAGAGAGGTGCACTGACCCCAAGTCAGAGGACCAACTGTCTCATGGCATTCCAGACTTTATCACCATCTCTGTCTCTGGGGTCAGGGTCCTGGGGCAGTTCAAAGCCCGAATAATCCATGAATCTTAAAGGGGCTTGGCCTACCATGCAGGGGGATCCTGGGCACTGTGATCCTCCTCCTTGGAACCACTTGCCCCAGGCAAGAAGATGCGGGTGACAAGAGAGCCAGATAGAGCTGCCAGGGGCTACATTGTCAGCTCCTCCTCCAACATGGCTCCCAGCACACGCCTCTGCTCATCTCCCTTCCTTCAGCATGGTACCCTCATTCCTGAGACTTCCCGTTTACTCATTTCTCACCTCCAAATATTGCAATCCTTCATTCTCACACACGTCAAGACTAATCCCAAATTTTGCCTCCACAGTCAGATTTGCTGACACTTTAAGCTCATGTGGACTTCTCCCCTTTTGTTTCATAGCTATAGTTGGTTTCATCTCTAATAATTTCAAGCATGCATGTCTTTTCTGCCTAGTTAGATCAGGAACTTCTCCAAGACAGGGATACTCACAACTTTAGGCACACAGTAGATGCTCAAATAAATGGATTGAGGGATTGGGGAACTAGGACCTCCAGGACTGTAGGAAGAACAACTGTCTTCAACACGGAACCCATCTGTATTTTGTTGGGGAGTCCCAGCTTAATCTCCTTCCCATTTGATTGACAGAACTATGTGCAGTTCTACTCATCTTTTGGCATAAATCTTCTGGACTGTGAGCTCCAGCTGCCTACTCTGCCCCACACATTGTACTTTTATCTCAGTCCAGTCTTACTTCCAATCTTTTTCTTTCTTTGGTGAATTCTGATTTTTATTCTTTTTCTCTTTTGAATCATTGATTGTTGCTAAAATGGACTATATTTTTATACCCAGTCTGAGCCTTCTTCCATATCCACAGTTAATACACAGTTCATTTAATTTAGTTGGGACTGAACTTGTGAAACACTGATGTCACTGTGTTGTTAACTTGAGCAAATCCAGTTAAGAGGTTCAAGATTTTACAAATCAAGTTATTGTTTTGGGAGGTCTCAAAGCAAAGGAGAACATGGCTTTCTCGAAAAATTATTCCCATTGCCTCACTTGTCTTTTGCACCTGTTAGAGCCATGACTCAGGCTCCATAGAGACTTTGCTTTATTTCATATACATTTTTTTCTCATCTCAGGTCATTTTTTCCTGTTCAGTACAGAAACATGACACATCCTATTGGTAAAAAGGGAGGAAAACTTTACTTTTTCTTCTTTTATGTTTCTTGGCTACATGCTGGGATAGGGGTTCATAGTAAGTTTGCCAGATTCAACCAAAAAACCCCACAAAACCAAGAAAACAGGATGCCTTGTATTTTATCTGACAACACTATCAGCAGGAAAGTTTATGTTTCTAATGCAATCTGAATAAAAAGTGTACTAGAGGCCAGGTGTGGTGGCTCACGTCTGTAATTCCTTGGGAGGCTAAAGTGGGCAGATCAGTTGAGGTCAGGAGTTTGAGAGCAGCCTGGCCAACATGGTGAAACCCCAAGTCTGCCAAAAATACAAAAATTAGCGAGGTGCAATAGCAGCCGCCTGTAGTTCCAGCTACTCGGGAGGCTGAGACAGGAGAATTGCTTGAACTGGGAGGCAGAGTTTGCAGTGAGCAAGATTGTGCCACTGCACTCCAGCCTGGGTGACAGAGCAAGATTCCATCTCAAAATAAAATAAAATAAAATAAAATAAAATAAAATAAAATAAAAGTGTACTAGAGACCCCTCTCCAGAAGTTTCTGAGCAAGAACAGCCTGAGACTGTGACCGCTGTTCCAATTGTAACACAATCTCCTGTTCCCACTCCCAGGCACATCTGGGGTTGATGCTATGTTACTGGAGGCTAATGGGACCTGCAGAAGAGGTAGCTATTTCTCTTCTAAGCAATTTTCTTAGAGGAAGTTAACCATCATGATGTGTATGGCAAGGAACCTGACATTCAGACCCTTCTTGGAAATCTGCTTTCATGGGCACACTGTATGTTCTTACATTTATTTCATACAATAATCATCTGAAGCATTTGGAAAAAGTGCAGATTGAGGTGCCTCCAACCCAGAACTTCTCACTTATAAGATCTAAGGCAGGCCTGGGGATTTTAATTCCTCAGAGAGCCTTTATGTCATACTTTCAGAAGCCCTAGTCTCACTCAGGGTTCTACCATTGCAGATGATTAGGACTAGAAAAGGGATACTGGAAATGATCCTCAGATTTTAGAAGAACATAAGGCTCAGAAACGTTAAGGACCTTGTCCAAGGTCCTAGGGTGTGGCAGGATTTGAACTAGGTTAAGAAGTCAGATCTCCAGGTTTTCACATCAGGACTCTGCAGCGGGTGGCACTGTGCACATTTCTGACTAGGGGCTATCCTTTCCAGGGTCCTTCTGGGACTTCCCTGTGACCATTCCAGGCCACCCACAGAAAACCTGCTCTTCTACCCACCTCCATCCCAAGTGCTCCTGTGACACCTTGGTGTGAGTATTACCACTGTTGCTGCCCCAGTGGTGGCTCCATCTTTTCTCTTTCTCCTGTAATATTCCAGAGAACTTAGCAAAAGCATCTCAGGTGACCCAGCCCGTTCTTAGCAATCCTACAGAAGAATGCTGCAGGGGGACAACACAAAGCAAAACATTGCCAATAAACAGCCTGTCAAGAAAGCCTGCAGTACACCAAGAAAGCTCCTACATTTTGCTAGAAGTCAGGGAACAACCCATGAAGATGATACGTGCCCTTTTAATCACACACAATGAAGTTACCATAGCAACCAACAGCGTTTCAGAAACATGATGTTAGTCACAAGTAATATTATCTATTTGAACAAAAAGAGGAGGCTTTCTCTGATAATGTAAGAAATATATTTCAGGGGTGACTGCAAATTTTAGAAGATAACACAGATAGCTTCTCATGAGCAGCACTTTCCTGAAGGACATCACCTTTTTCTTCCTGCTTCTACCTTGTCATATTAGTCCACGCAGCATGCATCCCACCGGTAACTTTCTTCTTCACCTTATTGAAAATGAATTTTTCTGGCTGGGAGTGCTGGCTCACACATGTAATCCTAGCTCTTTGAGAGGGTGAGGTGGGTGGATCTCTTGAGGTCAGGAGTTTGAGACCAGCCTGGCCAACATGGTGAAACGCTGTCTCTACTAAAAAAAAAAAAAAAAGAAAAAAAAAAAAAGAAAGAAAAAAAAAATTAGCTGGGCACAGTGGTAGGCACCTGTAATCCCAGCTACTCAAGAGGCAGAGGCAGGAAAATTGCTTGAACCTGGGAGGCAGAGGTTGCAATGAGCTGGTGTGTGGTGGTGTGTGGTGGCACTGTACTCCAGCTTGGGCAACAGAGTGAGA